TATCGGGCTTTAAAAAGGGGTCCCGGGGGGGGGGTTTTTTTACTCCTTTCCCCTCCGGTGGGGTTCTTTGGGGGCCGGGGGGAAATTCCCCCCCCTTTTTTTTTTTAGGATTCTTTTTGGGGGGGCCTGGGTGGTTGCCGGCCAAATTACCCTTTTTTTTCAGGTGGTTTTTTGGACCCCCCCCCCTTTTTTTTTTTTGGGGTTTTTGGGGGCCCCCCCCCCCCTTTTTTTTGGTATTTTTTTCCCGGGTCCCCCCCCCCCCCCCCGCGCCTATGTTTTCATGTGCTTTGTCCGAGTCCCCACCCAACCCCCCCCCCTTATATTCTGTGTGCCGCCGTCCGTGCTAGCAGAGCTGGTCGTGGGGTACCACAGCAGTTCGGCTTGGCGCCATCAAGGGTATCGGCTTCCGCATCGGCGGTTTTCCGTCGTCTGCCTCCGGCCGCAAGGTGAATGTAGAAGACGTGTTTGGATTGGTTCCCCCTCACGCGGATGTTGCATGTGATTGGTTGCCCTTCTCACACGGGTGCTGCATGTGTACCAAGATTTCGATTTTTGAGTCCGTAAACCCAGCAGGCGCGTCGTTCGTTTGACTATTTGGATCACCTAATGTCTCGTGAATGTGCTTACACCGGTGTCCCCCCCCCCCCCCCCCCCCCATGTTCCCCAAATCTCCTCTTGCCCCCTTGTGCCATATATTCTAAATTTGAAAAATAAAAACGCGTTTTCCCCCCGTCTTGGCGTGGCTTGGCTCTTCTTACAATGTTGTCTTATCGTCTGCATATATCTCGTCACGCCCTCTCTGTGCTCTCCTATCTTGCCTTATCTCGTCATCGTGTGTTGTTGCGGCAGGACTGCTCGACCGCTTCGTCTCTTGCTCTTCTCTGCCGTGCCATCGTTGGCGGTACGTTTGTTTGGCAGGCGAAACGGGCGTCCCTCCCCCCAAGAAAAAAAATTCCATCAACACTCATTGTTCTTAACTTTTGTTTTATCTTTTGATCGTGTATTGTGGCAGGAGTACTTTGACCGCTTCGTCTCGCCGAAGCCGATCGCGCCGTCCGTGTGGCACTCGACCAAAAGGCAGGCGTCCCCCGGGGACTGCTTCGAGAGCGGCCGGTTGTTTATGTCCAAGAACGCGGATGCTGAGGTGATTTGTTTTTTTCCCGAGGGCGTCTTGTATATAACCGAAAAAACGTCGTTTCTCTGTCGAGGAAACAACGATCCGGGGTAGTCTAGGTAACATACAAGTTTTTCTGTGCCATATGGAATTCATACATGTAGTCCGCCGTATACAGTAGTCAGCGCCCTCAATATTAAGGAACAGACTTGTGATTAGAAACAAAGTCTCAGACTTAGGCGACAATTAAGAAAAAAATCACCAAGAAACGCCCTGAATCCTACACTAGTACTCTATACGATATTCTCGTTGGTGGCGACGAAGGAAACTGAGCTTGGACCCCAACTTGGCCTTCACACTATTTATCCCCAAGAATTACTAAATTAATTGTAATGAATAAGCATTGTCGTATTTCTTTCGTTGACGCTTCTCACACGCGGGCGCGAAGCTAACCTCATGCTGCTGCTGCCGCTGCGCCGTTGTTCGTGCTCTTGCGCCGACGGGGGGGGGGCGCATACAATGTCTGTCCCGGGGGTTGGGGTCGTCCCCAGCTCTTGGAGCAACTCAAGGTCGCCTACGAGAGAGAGCTGGTGGACATCCAGGCGTCCGCTTCGTACAGCTCCCAGACCAACACGGGCTGCTTCTCGCTCGAGATCGTCCTGCTCACCAAGGTGACAGCGAGCGCGCGGCGCCTGTCGTGCTGCTGTACCCGCGTACGCACGTGTACGTGTTCATGTAAAACTCCTTGCTTGTCTTGGCGACGCATGCATCCATGTAAAACTGACGAGGGAAGAAGGGTATGAGATATGATTTGACGGAGGCCTGCGCGGTAATGCTGCAGACCACAAGCACCTCGCTCCGTGTTTCATTATCGACTCGTGCGAGTTTTGGTTTCGGGGGGGGGGACCGGGGGTAATAGGCACTTGTGGCGCGCTACAATTTAGCTTCCCCCGTGACCTTGGGGGCCCAGATGATAGCCTGTATGGAAACGTTTCCCGTCTGTGTAGTACGAGACACAAACATACCGCCGGCCCCGCCGCCGCCGCCGCGGCCGCCACCCTGCCTCCGTTCCCCGCAGGCTGTCGACCGCAGCACCGCCCTCAACCCTCGGAGTGGGCAGTCCTCGTTCGACATGGTGCCGCTCGTGGAGCGGTGCATTCTCAACCGCGTCCACAAGACCAACTCTTCGTCCAAGAAAAAGAAGGGTTCTTCTTCTTCTTCTTCTTCATCTGGGCGGCCTCTTCAACCCGTGGTGAACGGTGTGTCGGCGTACGGCGGGGGGGGGGGTTCGGGTTCTGGGCCAGGGGGCACGGTGGCTGGGCGTGCGTTCACGCCCTCCAACAAGGTATGTGCGGCACCAGGTTAGAATCAACCGTAGTCGATTGCAGCAGTTGTCAAGAAGCGTGAATTTGGTCGATCACAGCCATTGCCAAGCGTGAATTGGGTCTAGTACAGCAGTTGTCAAGGGGCAGAGGTGAATTCGGTCGATTTCAGTTGTAAAGAGCGAATTGGGATTGAGGCAGATGTAGTTTTTGTCCACAACGCCATGCACATACACGACACTCGGTTCTCGATGCCAAACTTTGTTTTTTTCTCGTTATTTTCTGTGAGAGCTGATTCAAAGTGAGAGTATTAGTATCTTTCTCGATTTGCTTGTTTCGAATCGTCCATCGTGTTGGCGTCGCTTGCTTTGGACGTCTACAGTATGTACGTACTGTGGCGAGTCGTGAAGATCCCGAATCAAACATGGTGTTAACCTTCTCGAGAGCAGATGACGAGAAAGTTAACACCATGCGTGATTCGGGATCTTTTCGACTCGCTGCAGCACGAACACAAGCATCCGAAAGCAAGCGACGCCAACACGATGGACGATTCGAAACAAGCAAATCGAGAGGTGTTCAATTTTGCTTTGAACACAGGTGTCTCTGGGCGGTGTACGGAGTTCCAGCGTTTCCGTTGTAGGTCGTGTTGCCTCGCAATATGGAAGGGACCAGGGAGACCTCTCGGGCAGCATGAGACCTGACACCTGAGCAACTTGCAGGCCGCTCCCTTGTCGACCCTACGTGCAGACTAGTCTCCCTCCATAGAGGTGTCCTGTCCGGCGACCCCTTTCTTCTAACCGTGGGCCCATACCAAACACAGCCGGTCCCCTTCCTCTCTGTGCCTCTCCCTCTGTCTGCATTTCTCTCTCGCCCTCTCTCGCTGGTCTGTCTGTGTATGTTTCTCTGTTTCTCTCTCTGTCTCGCCCGCTCTCCCTCTCTGTCTCTCTCTCTCGCTTTCTCTCTCTCGCTCTCTCGCTCCCCCCCCCCCCTGTCTCTGCCTCCCTCTGTGATTTCTTGATTCCGTCAGGGGTACGGCGGGCGCGCCTCCCTCGATGTTAGCCTGTCGGGACTAATCGACAGCGTGCGAGCAGAGGAGAGAAACAACAACGTCGAGGAAAGGCGGATCATCCACCCAGCCAAGGTTAGTCGAAAGGGCATCGTCATAAATTTATGCACCGTACGCATTCACAGAACACGCCTCCCCTCACTCGCGCTCTGTTGTTGTAGCTGTGCGCAAACCGGCACTCTTTTTTTACGCACGGGGGAAAGTTATTTTTTTTTTGTTTTTGTCTTGACTTCATTTTTGTCTTCGCTTAAAATCAGCGCACACGGGACTATTAGTGCCGTTTAATCCAACCCTTGGTATACACTCGACGTATGTGTTTCTGATGACCGGGACAGGTTGCTGTTCTTGTCGTCTTAATTGCGCATTTGCTACTCCAAAAGCATCTTCATACTGCTGTACTGTAGGTTCTCTTATTGCATCGTTGCTGTAGCTGCCGTATGATGGCACCTGGTAGTGGTCCAAACACGTTGGAACAGGTTCGATAAATTACCCCATCCCCCCCCGTGTGGCCAATGAACAATCGGTCGAGTGGCGTGAGGGCAAGCAACACAAACAAGGACCCCACTTCCCCGGATTTTGTTCATGCAAACGCTTCTGGAGTTCGGAACCCTTCATACGGGACCCCCCCCCCCCCCTCTATTGTCTTGCTGTTTTTCCTATATTTTTACATGTTGCCGTTGCCCTGCACAGGATGTTGCTGGAGTCGGAGATCCTATTTCCTGACCCTCTCATCTTGCAGTTGTTCCTACGCAGATGCAGCTGGAGTTGGAGAACCTATTTCCTGTCCCTGTCATGTTGCCGTTGTTCCGACACAGATGCTGCTGGAGTGTACCATTTTCCTATCCTTTTTCGTCTTTCCATTGTCCTGCCCACAGATGCTGCTGGAGCTGGAGAACCTCCAGCACCGGTCCCTGGCGAAGCAGCCCGACTGCCTTACGGTGGATCTCTACGAACACCAGAAGCAGGATGCCCAGTGGATGATGGACCAGGAGATGCTGGAGGGCGGCTCCATGCAGCACCTCTGGGCGGAGCTCCCGCCCCACCACCTCGCGGTAAGGGCTTTGGTCCCCCCCCCCACTGCTGCCGTCGCATCGCAGCACAGAAGGGTACGTTGTCTAGGGGGCGGTTTTTAAGGGCCTAGGACAGGACGTAGGCACGGACATGTTTGTGTAGGGTAGGTCAGCTATACGTCCTCTCGACCACCATCGACGTGCGCGCGGTCCCCGGATGTCCGTACGTGCCGTGAACCAACGCCAACCCCGCAAGAATATCTGTTTGGGCACAGCAATCGCGTACGTACGTACGGCCGCGTTGGAGAGACGTACGGTGTGCGTTTTCTCTGGCGTGAGTTGCTGTTGAGAGAAGTTTCTCTCCGTTGTTGGTTTGGGTATCGTGGGTCGAAGGTCTTGCCAAGAGGTATGGGGAGGGACGGCTGCCGCACACACCCTCATCGCATCTCTCTCTCTCTCGCTCGCTCTCGCTCTCGCTTTCTCTCTGTTGTCTGTCCCTCTGTGTCTCTATCTGTGTACTATGTCTGCATGTCTGTCTGTCTGTCTGTCTGCCTGCTCTTTCACATCTCTTTTTATCTCATATGTCTCTATCTCTCTTCCTCTTCTCGCAGAACGGCCGGTGTTCACACGAGTTCCGGCGGTGTTGGTTCTCGCCTATCCTTAACCAGTTCACCACCGACAACCCTTTCGCCTCCACCATGAAGGTCAGCCGACTTGAGGATTGATTCGTGCCCATACGCGCGTCACCAACCTCTTTATTGGGTGTGTAGACATCTTTGGTTGGCACTAATGTTCGCTGGAGAGTATCGCTACATACTTTACTTGTGTCTGGTCACAAAACCGGATTCGCGTCCATGGTCGCGTCGCAACTCTCTTTGTGTGTGTGTGAACGTGTATGGTTGGCACTGTTGTTGACTGGAAAGCTTCACTACGTTGGTTGCGTGAAACCACCAGGATTCGCTCAAAACTTTTTCTTTGTGTGTGTGTACGACGCTGTTCAATGGAGAGTATCGCTACTCTTGTGCCTAATCAGCAGGGTGGAATGAATGCTCATACACGAGCACTGCCCGAACCCGAAGGATTGCCGCGTTATTCTTGCTGGTGCTATGTACTCGTTGGGGGGAATTAGAGGTGCCGCCATATGCCGGGATCTACCCAATGTTTCATTACATGCTCCGGTCAAACCACGAGGAACCGATGTTGTTCCCATTTTTTGCTGGGTGTTTTTTTTTTTTTTCAAACATACACAACGATTCAAGCTAATATCACCCTTATGAAAGAGTCCCGGATGAACAAGCAATGGATCCACAGCGTCTGCTTGATTGTCGTGTTTGTGTGTGTTTGTTTCATCCTTCCTACCCTATCACAGCGAGGCCTTCTCTCTATCCACTGATGAGTTGCACATCCTTGATAAATTTTTTAACCAGGAATCCGTCGTGTCCTTCCGTGCTTGCTGTGTTGTTGTTTTTTCGTGTGTGTGGTGTCTGCCTAGGGTGGCATCCTGTGCGACGAGATGGGCCTCGGCAAGACGGCCGCCACGCTGTGCCTACACCTCATACACCCCCCCAGGACCCCGGCCCCGGGGGTCCCGCTGGACGAGAAGGAGTGGGGTCCCATCCTTGGAAAGCAGGTACGGACCCCCCCCCCCCTTTTGCCGGTGGTGGTTGTGGTGGGCTTACAGCGGTGCCTTACCGGCTGGACCCTTCATGAATGAACATGTCATTGTCCTTGTCCTGCACAAAGTTGTGATGTCTACCAAGTACCTCCACGCCTTGCATCCGCCCTGCAGAATGAAACAAACGCAGTTGTTGTTGTTCTTCTTTTATCAGGCCGAGCCGCTGGCGTACAAGAAGGCTCAAGCCAGCGTATCGCCGGAAGCCCCCGGGCAGTGGGTGTCGAAGGGCACGCTGGTGGTGTGCAAGGTGTCGCTCGTCGGACAGTGGGTAGAGGTGCGTCACTGCCGTCTGTTACTGTTGCTGCCGCTCCTGCTGGTGCTGCTGCTGTTTTTCTCGTCGGTTGCTGTTGAGAGTAGGGTTGGGTCGAAGCCCACAACGCTTGTTTTTTTTTTTTTCATGTATGACACGCCCAATACCATTCACGAAAAACGCATTTGAAGTACAAGCATTCATGTTCAAACATCGTTCCACTCTTTTGTCTGGCATGTTCGGTGTGCCAATCTCACGTCAAGCCCCGGTCTCTGCCTGTCGACGACGAGACACGCCTCGTTAAGTTGCCCACCTGTCTGCCCCGTCCCTTTATTTTTCAATCCATCCCCGTGCATGCATGCATCTGCCACTGCTGCTGGTTGACGATCGCCGTGTGCGTTCACAGCAACCGTTTCGTCAGCCAATCAGTGTTTCGCCGCAATATTTTTGTGCGACCCCAGGGGGACCAAACCGTTCATGGAGACACAGCCCCGACCCGTCCCGTCCCTCTGTAAAAAAAAGCATCCCCGTGCATGCATGCATCTGCCACTGCTTCTGGTTGGTGGTGATGACGATGATCGATCTCCTTGACGGCGGCAACACCGTCTGTACCGTCCCCCTATGAAGCCCTCCCCCATGCATTCATGCATGCCACTGCTGGTTGCTGTGTGTGTGTGTGTGTGTGTGTGTTTTCGGGCAACATCAGGAGGCCAAGCGTCTGTGCGGCGGCGCGCTGTCCATCTACCCCTATCATGGAGGCGGTCGGAGTAAGGACCCCAGTTTCCTTTCGCAATTCGACATGGTGGTGACCACCTACGGAGTAGTTCAGGTGCGCGCCGGGGGGGGGGGCGTCCCGTAGCTGTAGACCACGGCAGTGGTGTTAGGAGGAAAGATCGCGCTTTCCTCGCGCAATTTGGCACGGTGGTGACCGCGTGTGGCGTGGTTCAGATGCTGGGGCGGGGAGGGTTGGGGGGAACTTTTTCCCCGTCTCGTACATAAAGTAGCATTTTTTTACTTTTGCCAAGGGTCTCTTGTAGTACCACCCCCCTCTGACATCGAAAAAAATTGGAGATGTAAAAAACAAAAGCAAAAAAAGCCTTCCCGCGAACGGGGACGTTTTGTGGATTTTCGGGAACGTGTTTTATGGGCATGAGGGCAAGAATAGCCGGGAAGACAGACGATCACACAGGTTTACAGAACGGGGATAAACACATGTTTGTGTTCTTCTAGTAGACAGCAGCCACCCGCGCGTGCCTGGTTGTGTGCCGTAGTATTATTTTTGCACATGTTGCCCGCAAAGGTAGTCAATGGCTTCAGCACGCTGTCTCAATTTTTTTATCTTGTCGGGCTGGTCGCGCGACATCTCTGTCTCTCGGGCCGCTGTTGTTGTTGTTGCGACGCTGCTGATCGCTTGCTGTCTGCCGTGGGTCTTGCTTACGTGCTGCTCGTTTGCTATGTATCTGCCCTTGCTTTCTTTTGACAGGCGGACGGCGCGTCGAACGTCGGCTTCGCCCCCCTCCGGCGCATCCGGTGGTGGCGTGTGGTGAGTCTATTGGCACCGGGGTGGTCATGACGTGCTGGGGGGATGCGTGGGTTGGGGGTCGCGCGCGCGAGCGGGATTTGTTGCTGGTTGCGTCCGGCTACAGTAGGTGCGGACGGCTGTCATCTCTCGTGGAATCCCTCGCCTGCAACGGACATGATGTTGTTGTATGAAGCCGCCAGCACTGAGACGGACTTTCGGCTATGTAGAACACGTTTCCTGTCGATAGTCCTGCGGGGTATATGAAGGAGCCATCGAAGAGTATCAGCACACGTTCGCCGTCCCTCTCTCTCTCTCTCTCTCTCTCTCTCTCTCTCTCTCTCTGTCTCACTCTCTCTCTACCTCTTTCG